TCGTCCTCCTCCTCTCCATCCTCCACCTCCTCCTCCTGTTCATTATCATCATCATTATCATTATCATCACCATCATCAACATCAGCATCAGTATCATCATCATCATCATCATCATCATCATCATCATCATCATCACCATCATCATCATCAGCAGCATCAGCATCATCATCATCATCATCATCACCATCATCATCACCATCATCATCACCATCATCATCATCATCATCACCATCATCATCAGCAGCAGCATCATCATTCTCAGCGTCATCATCATCATCAGGCTCAGCGTCATTGTCATCATCAGCATCAGTATCGTCATGATCAGCATCATTATCAGCAACATCATCGGCATCATCATCAGCATCGTCAGCATCAGCATTCACATCACCATCATCTTCATCATCACCACCATCATCATCAGCATCAGCATCATCATCCGCAGCATCATCATCATCACCATCATCATCATCATCACCATCACCACCATCATCATCATCATCATCATCATCATCGTCCTCTCACTCCTCCTCCTCATCCTCCTCCTGCTCCTCCTCCTCCTCGTCCTCCTCCACCCTCTTCTCATCCTTCTCCTTCTCCTCCTCCGCCTCTTTCCTTCAACCTCCTCCTACCTCCTCGTCCTCCTCCTCTCCTCTTCCTTCCTTCTCATCCTCTTGTTCCTCCTCCTTTTCCTCCTCCTATTCTTGCTCCTCCTCCTCCTCCTCCTCCCTGCTCGTCGTCAGTTGTCCTCCTCATCCTCCTCCATTTCCTCCTCCTTCCCTCCCTCCTCCTCCTCTTCTTCCTCCTCCTCCTGTTCCTGCTCCTTATCTTCCTCCTCCTCCTCCTTCTGCTCCCTTCTCCTTTTTCTCCCCCTCCTCCTCCTCGTCCTCCTCCTCCTCCTGCACCCTACTCTTTGTCATTTTTCCTTCTCCTCCTCCTCCTCCTCCTCTTCCTCCTCCTCCTCTTCCTCCTCCTCCTCTTCCTCCGTAGCCATTTTTGGCCTAAGCCGCGTTGTCCGCTTTCTCTGCAGCCATTTCGCCCATGGCCGGTGGCGTGCTGCCGGCGGCCAGTAGGTTGCAGGGCTAAGGAGTGCAGGGGCGAGATGGCTGTACGGGATGGGGCCCCTGGAGGTGGTCTTGTGAGACGCTCTGCTGCGGCGCGGCGCACGGCGACTTGGCATCGCTCGGACGTGTGCATTTTTCCATTGGCGAGGACCATCGAGGAGCATCCTGGACCATTTGGCGAACAAAAACACGCACGAAACCGAAAAAAACACAGGGAATGGACGTCCGAGCGATGGCCAGGCGAGGGCTGCGGCGGCGCTCGCGCTGAATGGGGCCATTCGGCGTCTGCAGCGGCAGTTGGCGCAGGCCCTTGCCGAGGCCGATGCGCTGCGGGCTGAGCTGGGCGCGCTGCGTGCGGTGCCGAGCAGCTGCGACGAAATTGAGAGGCGTGTTCGGCTCATCGTTCCCGTTCTTGCTGCTGGCGTTGCAGACGCTGACGTGCCACCCGCTGTGGTGGGGCGCCGCAACTTTGCGGCCCACGAGTTCGGTGTGCCAGCGTTGCAGATTGCGTCCGCGAGCATAGCCGAAAACCAACCGTCTTCAACGCCAGGGTGCTGGAGGACGACGTCGTCGCAGGAGGCGCCTTCCTCACATTGCCGGAGTGGTGGGCGTGGCTGGCGAGTTTGCGAACTTGACCGTCGACTCGGTGGAGGAGGGGTCCTGCTCGTCGGATGCTGTCGCGGTGTCCGTCCCTGGCGCGCCCTGCACCTGCTGGGCCGCGCTGCATCCAGCTGCTGCACGGCGATGTTGTGTTGATGAGTCGACAGAGGATTTGCGTGTTAGCAGTGGCGGCTATGACGGCGACATGGGCGACGACCTCTTGGAGTTTGCTGTGGTTGCTGACGCTTGTGCTGGACGCGCGTTCCGTGCTGATGCTCAAGCCTTCGTGCCGAGGTGGGCGACGGAATGCCCTTCGTGCGAACGGAACCTGGAAGCGCCCGCCCGTCGGCCCCACGACGGCGAAGGGCAGCAGTGCAGGGCGGCGGCTGGCTGTGCCGAGGCGGCCGCGGCGCCGAAGAAGCAGACGAGTCGTTTGCGGGAGCTGCTGGTGAGTGCCGAGCGCGATGGCAGCGCCCCCTTTCGCTCCCGTGGCCATGGATGAGATCCTCGGAAGCAGGTGGCGTGCTCCTCGGGGACGCGTTGTTCCTGCGTTTCTGCGTCTCCGTGGTCGACTTCACGGTCGGGGGCCCAATGACGGTCAGGTCCAGCGCTTGTTCCCGCGGGCGCCACGATGGCAGTAGATGTAATCAGGTAATCCCGTAATCCTCCTCCTCCTCCTCTACAATTTCTCAATATGAATATTCTCTCCCTCTTCCCCTGATGGCGTCCGGGTGATAGCCGCGCACCCTCCGCGTACTGTTTTTTTACGCACAGGATGCCCGGAAAATCCCGGGAAACGACTCTCGCTGAGGCGCCGGCGTCATTTTTTCCCAAAATGC